ATCCAGAATAGAATTTAAAATCATTCTTCTTACCTACAAAGCTTTTAATGGTCAGGCACCATCTTATCTTAAAGAGCTCATAGTACCCTACTACCCCACCAGAGCACTGCGCTCCCAGAATGCAGGTTTACTTGTGGTTCCTAGAGTCTCCAAAAGTAGACTAGGAGCCAGAGCGTTCAGCTATCAAGCTCCTCTCCTGTGGAACCAGGTTCCAGTTTGGGTTCAGGAGGCAGACACCATCTCCACATTTAAGAGTAGGCTTAAGACTTTCCTCTTTGATAAAGCTTATAGTTAGGGCTGGCTCAGGTGAGTCCTGAACCATCCCTTAGTTATGCTGCTATAGGCCTAGATTGCCGGGGGATTTCCCATGATGCACTGAGCTCCTCTCTCCTCTACTTTCTATCCCTCTGTATGCAACCTCATCCCATTATTGCATGTTACTAACACAACTTCTCCCCTTTCTGGTAGTCTTGTGCTTTCTCGTCCCTCTCCTCTCTCCTCCTATCACTTCCTGCAGGTTTTCTGGCTCTGGAGCTGTAGAGTCTGGATCTGTGGCTGCGGGTCACCTGCTGCCCCCGTGTTCCTGCTCGACACCCTCTGCTGCAACGACTATTGTTCCTAGTCTTACTGTTATTATTGTTATTATAATCATTAACATTACGACTGTTACCATTAACACTACTATAAATATCTGTACCATTTTTCATTTAGTCTATAGCAACCTTTACTGTCTGTACCCCTCTGTGTGTATTTTGTGTAGCTCTCTCTCTCTCTCTCTCTCTCTCTCTCTCTCTCTCTCTCTCTCTCTCTCTCTCTCTCTCTCTCTCTCTCTCTCTCTCTCTCTCTCTCTCTCTCTCTCTCTCTCTCTCTCTCTCTCTCTCTCTCTCTCTCTCTCTCTCTCTCTCTCTCTCTCTCTCTCCCCTTCACCCCCAACCGGTCGAGGCAGATGGCCGCCCACCCTGAGCCATGGTTCTGCTCGAGGTTTCTGCCTCTTAAAAGGAAGTTTTTCCTTGCCTCTGTCGCCTAGTTCTTGCTCTTGGTGGGAACTGTTGGGCTTCTGTAAATATCATCAGAGTATGGTCTAGACCTGCTCTTTTATGAAAAGCGCTGTGAGATAACTGTTGTTGTGATTTGGCGCTATATAAATAAAATTGAATTGATTTGAATAACAACTCACTTTTTGTTGCAAGTTTCAACTGCAGCACCTGGTGGTCTGTGACTGGATTCAGCAGGTGTGTCCATGGGGTCATTAAGAATTAAAAAATGCATGTCACGAAGGTCTTCCAGAAGAGCCTGTCTGGAAGCCTCATCGGGGGACCGCCTGACCATGACGTTGTAGTCCCAGGTTCTGCCTTGAAGGGTCCAGGCCTTCATCGACTTTTTGGCTCTGTCCACCTCTGCATTCCTCTCCTCATTTGTGTGGTTCTTCAGGCAGACTCTTAACAGGTGGTTAGGCAACAGCTCCTGTGGTCTGAAACACTGCAGACAGGAAACGATGCGGCGATCCTTGTCACTGTGAGAGAGAAGGTAGACGGTTTAGTTTGATTAAAATCGTTTCATAAAACAAAATAATCCAGAAAGACTTGAGATAAGGAAGTTTTTGATTTGGTGCTACATAAATAAAATTTAATTGAATAGAGTTGATGGGAAAAAAAGATTGGATTTGACCTAAATGGCACAATAATCAAAAAAAATCAGCTCTCACATTGCCCTATCACATTCTCAACACAGACATGTTTACTTATGTCATATAAAGAAAAACTTTGAAGGTGAAACAGATTCAAAAGGGAGGGGGCTGGTGTGATCCTAATACAATGAGGTCCAAATTGGGCACTCTAATTACAATGCCACAATGCAGTCCAGACTGCTGCCTCTGAAAAAGCCTTTGTTTTTGGATTTTAGGCCATGATCAAATATATGTTCTTGTCAAATTATTATTTTATGTACTTATTATTTCTAAGTCAGGGACAAAACACATACAGTGGGGGAAATAAGTATTTGACCCCTTGCTGATTTTGCAGGTTTGCCCACTTACAAAGAATGCAACGATCTATAATTTTAATCATATGTACATTCTAACAGTGAAAGACAGAATCCCAAAGAAAATTCCAGAAAATCACATCATATGAATTTATTAAAATTGATAACCATCTGATGAGGAAAAACAAGTATTTGACCCCCTGGACAAACAGCATGTTAATATTTTGTAGAAAAGCCATTATTGGCCAGCACAGATGTCAAACGGTTTTTATAGTTGGTGACAAGGTTTGTGCACATTTCGGCAGGGATGTTGGCCCACTCCTCCCTGCAGACAGCCTCCAAATCATTCAGGTTCCGAGGTTGTCGCCTGGCAACTTGAATTTTAAGCTCCCTCCAAAGATTTTCAATTGGATTCAGATCTGGAGACTGGCTAGGCCACTCCAGAACCTTGATGTGCTTCTTCTTCAGCCACTCTTTTGTTGCTTTGGCGGTGTGCTTAGGGTCGTCGTCGTGCTGAAACACCCATCCTCGACCCATCTTCAGCTCTCTCACTGAGGGAAGGAGATGTTGGTCCAGAATTCCACGATACATGGCCCCGTCCATCCTCCCTCAATACGATGGAGTTGTCCCGTCCCCTTGGCTGAAAAGCACCCCCAAAGCATGATGTTGCCACCACCATGCTTGACGGTGGGGATGGTGTTCTTTGGGTTGTACTCGGTGTTCTTTGCCCTCCAAACACGACGAGTTGCGTTGAGGCCAAAAAGTTCTATTTTGGTCTCATCTGACCACATCACCTTCTTCCAGGCCTCTTCTGAGTCGTCCAGGTGGTGACTGGCGAACTTCATGCGGGCCTGTACATGTTTCTTCTTGAGCAGGGGGACCTTGCGTGCGCTGCAGGATTTCAATCCATGACGGCGTAGTGTGTTACCAACCGTTTCTTTTGTAACTGTGGTCCCAGCTGCCTTCAGTTGATTCATCAGTTCCCCCCTTGTGGTTTTGGGATGATTCCTCACCGTTCGCATGATCAGGGACACCCCACGAGGCGAGATCTTGTGTGGAGGCCCAGACCGAGGGAGGTTGGCGGTGGTGTGGTGCTTCTTCCATTTCCTGATAACTGCACCGACAGTTGATCTCTTCTCTCCAAGTTGCTTTCCGATTCTCTTGTAGCCCATCCCAGCCTTGTGCAGATCAACAATCTTGTCCCTGATGTCTGTAGAAAGCTCTTTGGTCTTGCCCATGGTGGTGATGCTGGTTGTTTGGGTGTTGACAGGTGTCTTTTATACAGGTAACGAGGTGAGGCAGGTGTATTTGATGTAGATAATTGGTTGGGATTGGGGCTGTGTCTTAAAGAAAGACTAACTGGCTTGTAGGAGCCAGAATACTTGCTGTTTGGTAGGGGTCATATACTTGTTTTTCCTCATCAGATGGTTATCGATTTTTATAAATTCATATGATGTGATTTTCTGGAATTTTCTTTGGGATTCTGTCTTTCACTGTTAGAATGTACATATGATTAAAATTATAGATCGTTGCATTCTTTGTAAGTGGGCAAACCTGCAAAATCAGCAAGGGGTCAAATACTTATTTCCCCCACTGTACAGCTTGTAGTTAACTCAAAGTTAAGAAAAGAATAACTGTAGTAATTTAGTCATTAAGGAGTGTTTTGCTAGATTTTTGCTCATAGTATTGTCAACCAACAGGCCACACTGGGTACAGCAGTAAGGCTGTTAAATAACAAGAAATAGATTATTTACTTAAGCTTACATATGTTAGTACACATGAATGCATTCTTAAAATGTAAAGACAGAAAATACAAATGATCTGAACTTACCGCTTGGTTCTTCACAAATGAAAAAGCTAGTTTACAAACAAAGGAAAAATGCAGGAGGAATCTTCAGTGTTGAGGGAAACCCTTTTCTTGAAGAACTGAGTACATGGTGCCTCTGAGGTCTCACCTTATATGTCCACTTGATAGTCCCTCCCACCTTTCTGCAGCAGCCAAGAGGGGGGTGGGCTGACCATGACTGATTTGTTTTTAAATAAAGTAAGTCAAATGTAAGAAAAGACAAAGATGAGTTACATAACACATTTTATTACATGTTCAGTGTAGGGAAATCTGATTATTCTGATCATTACATACAATGTTGGCCTGAAATACTGAGCCTGACATTTTGGGAAATGTTTGAATTGTAGGCCTGGGCTTGCAGTACAGAGGAAGATGAAAGCTTTAAATGTGTGTATCATCAACCATATATCTGAAAATGCTAGGCAGAAGTACATACCAAAAACTTTAAGAGATCTGACCTACACAAGTTTCAAAATAAACAATGTTGGTCTCCAGTGAAAGGCCTGACTCTAGGCTATAGATAGTATAGTAAATGTGATCCTGTTGAAGAGGGAGAATGTTACCCTGAACTCACCCAAAAATGTAAGAGATACAGTACAAGCAGACTCATTTTACCCTGGTCTCCTAGAACAGGAATAATGACTTAAATGAAAGCTCGCTGAATCTCAGCCTGTGGACAGATGCAAATGCCCCCCTCCCCCCACAGGCAGCTGTAGGACAGCTATGACTGTCTGCAGAGCTACCTGTGCACAGGTGCAAGTTTACCTGGAATGTGGTTGTTTAATTTAACTTTCATCAGAAATAAGTTGTTTGCAGCTAACTGCATTCTGCTGTCCAGTCATGGAGCATCCAGCATACATACAAACAATTTGTTTCTGTCTGTAAACAACCTGTACAGTTAACACTCCTTAGTGACATGTAAATAGGTTTGACGTATGAATAGATCTTTATTAGCAACCACTCATAGTTTGACATGTGGGTCTATTATACTCTGATCAGTGATCTCAGAACAATGGAGGTGTGTTTTGGACACACTCATCAGTATGGCACACATGTCTCAGTTTTAAAGTTTTTAATAATCACATGTGATAAAATGTTAAGAAAGAGACTACATGAAAAAGTTAGTGTGTAGGTTTTTAATGAGGTGGAAAATCTTTAGTGTTAGCAATTCAAATTGCTGTTTAGATATTTCTTTCCTCCCTCTGCAGATGCTTTCTTCCTTTGCAGGCTGATGGTCTGTGGCCTGCTTTCTTCTGTCTTCCAGCACACTCCATGTCTTCCCTCTGCAGATGTTTGGAGCTCTGTCTTGTCTGCAGAATCTGTCTTGTCTAACTGAGTGTCTTGCTTACAAAGTCACACCCTCCTCCCCCCCCCTGCCCCCGCTAAACAATAGTAAGCAACCTGATTGGTCTGCTTGACCATGACATCACACAGCTGGTGCTGCACAGATAATAAATACTGCAGGTAAGGAACCATTCATTCACTTTGTTTTCGATTCTGACTGCTGAGACCACCTTTTGCCCTTTGCAAGGACATTTTCAACTTGAGCTACACTCCTGTTTTTGTGCTCCTTGTCTTTGGCAGAATTTTCTATACTTTCATCCCAAGACTCTCACTCCCTTTCCAAGGACTTCTTTTTTTTTTGGAAAATGGCAGCAGAAGCCGACAAGTAAGTTCAAATTTCTTTTCTCTAGTGGATTTTTACTATGAGTGCGGGCAATGACGTCACTCGTCTGCACGCACAGTAAGTATTAACAGCAGTCCATAGGTCCAAAAATATCTGTTGAATTAGCGTAACGGATTTGTGCATTTAATATATAGATCAGCCTCAAGAAAATTATATAATTCAAGTTTGGGAGCTTCATATGATATTTCTCCCCCATTGCAGCTACAAACTGCCGGACATCAAGAGCCAGGAAATTCGTAGGACCGTGGAGACAGATGCTGCTGCCAACTTCACGGAGGAGCAGAAGGCGTCTGTGGCACACTACATGGACCATTCGACTGCTGTGGCAAACCAGCACTACCGGATGAAGACCCTGGACACTGTTGTGGCAACCGCGAACCTGCTCAGCTCCCTGACACGGTATGTAATCATCTGAAACAGTCAATTATTAATTAAATATTAATAATTATATTGTCTCTCAGTGCTCATCCACCTGTTTGTCAGTGTGTAACCTGGAACTTCCCCTGTGAGTGCCACCCGTCTCTGGAAACCGCAGGGAGATGGATCAGACACTCCAAAAAGAACTTTAACGTGCAGCCACGCCACTGCACAGTGACACTTCCAGAAGGAGACAGACACGTCCTGCTCTTTCAGGCCACAAAGGACATTGTCAGTGACGAGGAGATCCGCTTCGACCACGGTGTGAAGAGGAGGTCTTTTCGTGGGGAGGAAGAGGAGCTGAAGTGGCTGGATGTCTGACAAGTTTCCCTGACAGACTCTGTCTTACTGTATTATATTGTACAGCTTGTGTTGTTATTGTATAATGAATGCGTGTAAATAAAGTGTGTGTGATTTAACATTAACCGTTTCTGTGTCTGACTCAAATAAGGGGTACCTCACTATGGGCCTCTCCAAATGGCCACATTTTCTCACAGTAAAATCCCAGAGACCCCGGCGTTGGCATAGACATTGTGGAAGGGGCCACGAACATGAGTCATTTGAGGCATATCTGCTTACATCAGTAATATGACAAACACATGCTCATCCACTCAGTGATTCCTAGTAAAATACTGCCAGGATCTCACTGATTTATGCTTTAATTTTAATCATCTCCTGTGTGTGTGATGAAACAGGTAGAACTGAAGACACGACCCCTGACCCAGCTCACAATAGCTCTGTGTTTGGTAGAACTGAAGTCATGACTTTACTGAAAGCTGGCTGACTGGCTGGTCTCTGCCTCTGTACAGATGCAAATTTCCACCACACCCCCCACTGTCTGCTGCAGGACAGCTGGGTAGCAGAGGTCGTGTTAGGTGTTTACTGCCACCCAGTGTTCCCAGCCAAGATGACACAGGTTATAATTTATAAGAGAAGACCAGCCTGTTGACTGCTGATGTTGTTTGTAGTTCAATGTACCTACAGGCCCATAGCTGTGGTGGAAGATACTTTCTCATTTTTTATCTCTGTGTGTGGAATTTCTTCTGAGGAAATGAGGCAATAATTTACTGTCCATTTCTTTTCCCTTTTGATTTTGGGAAGATTTACACGAGGACATGACATGGCGTGCTGAAATGAAAACAATGTGTACAGAAATGTGCTTTAATTTTACCGTCTCTGTGATTAGAGACAGGACTGGAATCTCACTGTCACACTCTGACTGTCTGCAGAGCTGCCTCTGTACAGATGCAAATTCCTCCCATCCCCCTCGGGCTGCTGTGGGACCGCTGGAGGGGGTAGAGGCATGGAAGAGGCATGGAAGGTGTCTACTGCCCCCCAGTGTTCACAGTCTAGATGACACACAGGGATTCATTTCAAAGAAAAGATGACAGCTGATCTTGTTGGATATTCAAGCTTTAAACCCAGACCCCCTGTCATGTTTTCATTACTAGAATATTTTTATGTGTGGTGATTTATCTGCTGTTATTGACTTCAGTTCTAGGAGACCAGGTCAAAATGAGTCTGCTTGCACTACTTTTGGGTGAGACCAGGGTAACATTCTCCCCAGGTGATGCATTTTTACAAAGTCTCAACGATATGCTGCTAACCTGGCTCTCTCTTCAACAGGATCACATTTGCTATACTATATATAGCCTATATTCAGGTCTTTCCCTGGTTCAATTTGAAACTTGTGGCGCCTGTCAGGGTGCTACACAGTGGAAATACTGTGATAATAAGTGATTAAACCAGGGCGAAACCGTTAAAAGGGAGCAAGCATTTCATCCTTTTGCACACGATTGAGTTTGACAGGTAAATTTATCATGCTATTCACTGATTTCACCACTTTCAGCACTGTTTAAGGTTGTTTCTGATTTTATTTTGCACTTATATTAAACACGCGTGCGTGAATGTAGCCAGTGTGCACACAAAACACATTTCCACGGCTGAAAAGTACAGAAAACAAGCAAAGCACTCATCCTCCGCGGGCACCAGGTTGAGATCCCCGGATTCTGCAGCACATGTGCTGCTCGTGCGGTCGTCAAAATTGTGCAGGCCGTTTGTGTCACAGCGGCGCCCTCGTTCGCAGATTAACATGTTGACAGGGAAGATGAGAGGGAAGTCACACTTTAATCCAAAATATTGCCTTAGTAAGGAGGCCGTCAACGTATGCGCTGCACTCCGTTGAGGCGATATGAGAGAATGTGAATAATATTTCCTCAATTGCCATTTATTAGAGACTAACAGCATATCAATCGAGGTCAAAGTATGCACGTGTTTCAGTCCCCTGGGAAATAAGAGGAGTGGGCACAGCAGCATATGTGACGTGCTCGAGCAGCCTATATGCTGTAATTTTTTGACAAAAATAATTGAAAATAAAGTATTTGCGAGACTAAAATCTCGCCAGAGGAAGGGCAATAAGACTTTCCTGAAAAAGACCAAGAAAGGTGGTGTAAACGGCCATGCATCATATATGCTGTAGGCCTGCAGCACTCTACATCACCAGTGCTGCAGACCCGCAGCACATGTGTTGTTTCCAACCGCCGAGTTGCTCCGACGTAGCAACACAAAGCGTCGGTAATGACGCAGTGAGATGAGGATGCATTGGTGTTAATGTAGCTCCAACATCTCCAGAATTAAGACTTTTTCTACTAGTAAAACCATCTGCTGATCGTGTCATGTCTGTTTCAGTATTCCGAATCTCCCAAAAAACAATTGTGTGTGTGTATAATATATATTTCGTGTGTGTGTGTGTGTGTATAATATATATTTTTACTACTGAAACTGTTGGTTGTACATTACATAAATAGGCCTTAGGTTTAGGTTACCACGGACTTGGGAAGAAAAAAATCAAATTAACATTGGATTTATACCGTCTGATAATTTATTTTTTAATGGATATTTTCTGTACTTTTTAAAAAAATTTTTTGTAGATTTCCTCCCTGGAAGCCATCGACAATCCCAAGGTTTGGTGCTTAAAAAATTCTCCATGGCCGGTGGGTCTAGAGTTCCCAGGTGCTGCAAGCTTGGCCTTAACCAGAGTATCTTGCAGCTTTTTATTCTTTCTAAATGCAGCTATGAGTCTGTGGTCCTGTAACAGCTGAGTTGTGGAAATTAAATTTTGGAAATTGTGTTTGAGTGTATTAACTAATTTTACTGCTGAGGGAGAATAGGTGGTGATGACTGGGAGTAAGGAATCTGTGGTGAGAGGTTTTGTGTGAAGGAAGGCTTTAAAGGCTCTCCGTAAAAAGGCCCTGCAGTACCCTCTGCTGGTCAGAGCAGAGAACAGCACCTTCTCTCTCACCTCTTTAAAATCCTCTGGTCTAGTGCAGATTCTGTGAAACCTCAGCAGTTGAGACTTGATTAGCACTGCAAAGGTATGCTTTGGGTGAAAGCTGGATTTATGCAAAAGAGCATGTGTGTCTGTTTGCTTAAAAAACATCTTGAGGTCAAGTCTAGCAGTTTGAGTGAATGTGGGACCCTTGAATGTTGTGGTATCTAAGAAGTCAACAGTGGTAGGACTTTTTATTTATTTATTTATTTTTATTTCAGCTTGACAGCAGGGTTATGGTGATTCAGAATGTTCACAAATTGGTCAAAATCCTCTCTCGAAAAGGGCCAGACCCCCCATATATCATCCAGAAAACTGTAATAGTGGAGTGGTTTTTTTGGGACAGGAATTTAGTGCAGTCGTTTCCCACTCTGCCATGAAAATATTAGCATATACGGGTGCAAATTAGCTCTGACAACAAACTCACATAAAAAATGTCCTAATGTAGGCCATCTGGCCAAAAGAATGATTTACCAGTGTGCTATATACTGTGTGAATCTTTCTTCTCCATACACATTCCAGTGTGTAACATACAACACTCCCATTATGTCATGCAAGTGAAGAGAATCCATACAACATTTATTCAACATATATAGCACATACATGATTTACATGGACCATAAACTATAGTTTGTTTTTTCGTTTGAAGCACAAATGAACCAACGGGAAAACCAACTTTTTTCATTGTCATTTCAAACCAAAAATGAAGAAACGGGAAAAAATGAGCCTTTTTTTTCCCTTTTTGTTTTCTGAATCCAAAACCGAAAAAGTTAGTTGTCCAGTAACAGCGTTAGGTGGCATTAAACAGGGCTGTCCTTTATCTGGTCAGTTGTATTCCTTGTCTATCGAACCACTTTGAGTGCCTACGCAAATGATGTCAGAGTTTTCATTAAACAACAAAAGGATGTCGAGGTTCCTGTTCAGAAAGAGAAATTCTACAAGGACGATTTTGTCTTGAAGCACAGAGGCACATGAGTATCATCTGACATGTATTGAAAACCCTGAGCACATATGGAGTAAATGGTTCTTCTCCATTAAATGAACTGAAGTATTTTGATGTGACAAAAACATTTCCACTTGATATAATGCATGACTTACTGGAAGGAGTTATCCCTCTTATGATTAAACTAGTTGTGTGCCAAGCTCACAAAGAAAAGCACGTAACAATTCAAGAGATAAATGAAGAACTACAACAACTTTCAATTGGTCAAAATGATG